CACTCCGAAGCTTGGATACCACTGGCTTGAAGGCCATGGGGCGGATCAGGGTTTTCTCCACATTCTGTCAGGAAAACAGGGGAGAGTGAGGGGTTGGGGAGGACCCACCACCCTCAAGAAGGGCTGCCTTGGACTGTGATGGGGGGTGCCCTCAGCCCTGATGCCTTCACATCCCAGAGAAGACAAAGGCCAGTCACCACTCACTCCATCCCTTTTCCATGGCGTGCCCAAATGGACTCCCCAAACCCTCTGGCACAGAGAGGACATTAAGGGCATGGGGACCACCACTTCCCAAAGGACACCATAAGTGTGGCCATGTGACCCCAGTTCATACATCTGAGCCAACAGTCCCACCATGGCATGGGGAGTAAAGTCAAGACCCCAGCACCCACCCACCCTGCTGCTGCCCTCCCCACCTCTTCCAGCTTGCCAGAGACGGGGATAAGCTTGGGGGGCGGCCCTCGAAGGTGATCACTTGGTGCTTGGTCATCACGGAGCTCATCTGAGTCGCTGCAGGGGCTGGCAGGAGAGGAGGCATCAAGCCAGTCACCACAGAAGCCACCGTTGGCATAGGAGTGGGTGACGATGGGCACAGACACACGGGGCTCCTCAGGAGTGGCCCGGAGCAGCCCCTCCTGCTTGCAGAAGGTGGTGGAGGGGTCCCCATCACAGGGCTGGCTGGTGTGGTCATGGCGAGGCCGGACGGGCAGGAGGCTGCCCACACTGCCCATGGTGGCGGGGGGCGAGCAGGCAGCGGCACGGAGTTGTGTGGCTCCCTCGGCAGCGGCCTCAAGGGGCACTGGCAGCGTCTGCACGATGGCCATGGCGGGGGGGCCCCCAGTGGGCAGGGGCACACGGGCAGCCTGCAGGCAAGGGAGACAGGGTATTAGAGCCGTGGGCACCACCGGCCATGCCCCACCAGCTGCCAGCATCCCCAGCTGGGCACAAGGGCACTCCCAGGTTCCTGGCCACCATCCCCTAACTTGTGGCCATGGGCTGGCCCAAGCGGAAGCAGTCAGAAGGAGATGCCAAATGAGCCAGAACTAAATTGGGATTAGTTGGAGGAGCGGCACCAGCACCCCTCAAGTTGTGCTCAGCACCCCAGTGGAGCAGCATGGGGCTGCCAGGGGCTGTGGGGTGCTGGTAGCACTGTAGGGCAGCAGCAATGCAGTCCTGCCTCCTGCCATGCCCTGGCGTGACCCTGTCATGGGAAGCGTGCCAGGACTGGAGGCGAATCCCGAGAGGCCTGCAGAGAGCCGGCTCATGTGCAGCCTGCTGCCTGCCTGCCCCATGGCACCCACCAGTGCAGCCCCGCAGAGAGTGAGGGACAGATTCACACTCCAGTGTCAGCCACCTCCTCAGCCCCACAACCCCCACCTCTCTGCAGTGACCCCACAGAGGGTGCCCCCCACACCCAACCATCCACAATGGGGCACAGGGTCCCCTGGAGAGGGCAACCAAGGGGGAATTTGCCTGGTGGGCACCAGGCTCTTTCCCAGCCCTAACACATGGGGGCTTGTTCCCACTCCCTCCAGCTGGGGGGCTCTGCCAGTGCTCTGCTGTGACCTCCGTGCCCCCCCTGCTCCAACCCATGCCATACGCCCGCGTGACGGGAGCCGGCCGACGGGCCGGATCCATCCCCCGCTGCCTCATCGCATCTCGCACAGGGCTGCGGCTGGCACAGGGCGCGGGCGGGGGGGGCCGCTGCCCGCACGGTCTCGCCCGCCGAGCTGTCACCTGAAATCAATCTGCCTGCCAGCGCCCGGGGAGGGGCGAGCAGCGGAGAGATGCCGGCGAGCCAGCCCCCCCGCCACCGTCACCCCCACCGGCACGTGCCATCGCCAGGCACCGTGACCTCACACCACGCTCCTGATGCCCTTGGGTGGGAAGGTGGGTGACCCCCACCACTGGCTCCGCTCACCTCGCCAGCCGCTGCCCATCCGTCCGGTCCACTCAGGCCTCCACACCGTAAACACGGCTCCGCCGGCCCCTGAAGCAGGAAGGAGGAAGAGGAGGGGGTCAGGGCACCGAACGGCAGCAGGGGTTCCTGTGTCCCCGCTGCCTCCCCGTTCAAGCCCCCCCAGCTGGCGGGGCCAGGGCAGGTGGTGCCAGCGTGTCACTGACGGTGGCAGGGGAGCCCGGCGTCGGGTGCGCTGTTCTAGGGTGGAACCCCGGGTGGGCTGCGGTAACCCCGGGAGGGGGGTGGGGACAACAGCCCGCCATAGGGACCTGCTGCTGCCGGAAGAGCAGGAATAAGGGATTAGGACCCCCAAAGGGACATCTCATGGCCCGCCAGCGGCAGCCAGGCAAGGCGCAGTACCCCACCCCAGTGAAACTCCCCTGGGATGTGCGGGTCAGGGGGTCGGACGCCCCCGGGGACAGTGGGTCCCCACACAGCCCGGAGGGGCCACTGCCTCTGACGGTGCCCTGCCAAGGAGGTGGTGGGAACAGACTCCATCTTCTCCCTCCCGCCCGCCCCCCGGTGCGCCGAGAGGGTCCCACCACCGTCCGGGGAGGGAGGGGCTGCCCAGCCGCCCAGTAAAACCAGTCAGCAATTGGGGTGGCGTCACCACCAGCCACTCCGGCTGGAGCACAGCGTTGCCGGATCCCACCGTTCCAACCCCGAAATGTCAAGGGAAGGCTCGGCCCCTGCTCAGCCAGATCCTCACTCCGAGCAGCTGGGGGTTCCGGGCTCCCAGGGACCCCCATGACTCGACGGCACCAAAGGGCCACTCCAGAGCAGGGGAAATCAGCCCCTCGTTCCTCCCCACACACCTGGCACATGTGGGATGGACACCCTCCATGCCCAGCTGTGCCCCTCTCTGGTTCCCCCAGCATCCTGAGGTTCCCTCGATGGTGCTGCTCCCCTTGCCCGCTCGGAGCCCCTCCGCCCCACTGAGCCCCACAGCACCCAGCCTGCCCCACGGTGCTTCCACACACCCCAACCCCACAGCACCCCGAACCGCCCTATGGCGCCCGTGAGCCACGATGCCCCACAGCTCCCCCAGAGTGCCCTAAACCGTCCCCAAAGTTTCACGACACCCCAAAATGCTCCACGGCACTCCCGGGCCTCTGCTGCCCCACACCTCCCCGAAGCGCTCCTAAACCACCCCAAAAGTGCTGCAAAAGACCCCCAAAGTGCCCCCCAGCGCGCCTGGGCCTGCACTGCCCCACGGCTCACCCCTAAAGCACCCCCAAAGTGCCCCGAGAATCCCTCAACTGCCCCAAAAAGCCTCTGGGCCTCTGCACTCGCAGGGCTCCCCATGTGCCCCTGAAACACCCCCAAAGCACCTCACGGCGCTCCAGGGCCGCCACCGCCCCCGCAGCCCCTCAGAGCGCCCCGGACCCCTCCAAATCGGCCCCGGGGGGCCCGGCCCCACAAGACCCCAAGTCCCGGCAGCTCCCCTCGAAGTGCCCTCCAACCCAACTCCCCGA